TGCTGTGGCTCTGTGTGCTGCTACAGAAACTGTCCTCGTGTTCATTCAGTTCTGTAGCAACTGTAAGACAACATGGCTTTACTTAGCTCCCTCAAACTAGAAGGGTATGAATGTCTTTAATGAATGTCATGTTAAGAGTTAAACAGTAAGTGTTTTATTGGAGATCAGTTTGTTATTCAGTAAATGTGTAACGAGTAGCCAGAACCCTGGCTGGAAGAGAAGGCATTCTTCATCTATTCCTGCACCCCGGTTTCTTGTCTTGTCTCTGGCTGAGCTATTGCCAAGTACAAATAAGAGGCTTTGTGGAGATTAGACTTCTACTTTCTTCTGTCCTGTAATAAGATTATTCATCTAGAAACTGTTGGGAGACCTTCATAGGGACATCTGAAGAAGGTTAATGACTCCTGTGCGGAATGTTTTTACCTTGCTGATTAACACAGCATTACTGCATACCAGCCTTTGCACTGAATGTGGTCTTTTTTTAAAAAAAAAAGGGAAAAAGGAAAAAAGTACAGACGTCTTTAAGCAGACAGCTACTGCAGGAAGGTGAGGAAAATGGCTTTCTAACCCTCCCCCTCGCCCACGTGGCAAGGCAGAATGCTGCCACTGGCTCTAAACAAAACCTGTGGCACTCGATAACCTGTTCATTAACTGAACTCTGATGCTGGCATCATCTGCTCTTTGCACACTTACTTCAGCCGTGGACTGAGTCATGAGCAGGACAGAATCGTTAACATGTGGCATTACTCATAGGCAGTATTAATCGTAACCAGACACTAGCATGCTGGTTTCTGGAGAGACTGGAGGAGTCTGCCATATGTGCATACTGCAGAAAGCATACTCTTATATGTTATTTGCTGAACACGTGTACTGCGTCAGGTTATGCATTTCAAAAACGAGGGAACATTCTGGGAGAATCAAAGGGGGAATGATCTCTGCCACAGACAGTACAAACACTGCAACTATGAAATGAGAGATGCTTGAAGTGTGTGGCTTAAATAAAGCCACCTTGCAAAGTACTAGGCAAAGTAGTGAAACACTTCTGCAGCTTCAGTTACTTACAGTGGAATTGCTGAATTACAAACCAGTTAGAACAGGAAAAAGCTACAATTTATGCACTTGCACATGACGGATTAAAAATGAACGTGAGGTGGTTCATCAGCATGCTCAAATGTTTTAGATGCTTTAAACCTTTGGTGACATGAGAAATTCCACAAGTCTCAGTGGGAACTGTGGTATCTGAGTTCTGACTGTATGGCTTCGATGGTATTGGGAGAAAAAACTGCAATTTTGAACATAATCCTGTGCTGCGTATCCCACCTCATAGTCAGGGTAGTACATAGAAACACCTGACAGCTCAGGCTTTGTATTTAATGTGAAGGCAGTTTTTGACAAAAACTGTAAGCTGTAGGTGCTGCTGGGTGGGTGTATTTTTAAAAGTTCATCTCTTAGGGATGTTGTGACTTTAATGTCTTCATATTCTGGGGCCTTCATTACCCTGGGAGTAGGGATTTTGTCTAGATGATCTCTCATTTTCTTGCTTCAGGAGCATATAGAAGCAAATGTGTGATTTAGTTCAGAAGGAAGGATAGAAGCTGAAAAGCTTAAAAGTCCAAATTGAAAATACGTAACATAGCTTTAAAAAAGGCTAAAGAAACATGAAAGAACACCATGGCACATGAACTGTTCAGAATGAATAGTCTAAGCAAGTACATATCTGGGAATTTGAAGCATTTCTCCTTAGTTTGTCTTTTGGTTTGTGGGACAGCATTGGAGAGCAGAACTTTTAACTTCAGGATTGGAAATATTTACTTGGTATGTAATTTGTTCCCCAGCATTTACAGTTACTTAATATTGTCTTTCTTAGGTTCCTTGCAGAAGCAGCGTTCACCTTCCATGCATGTGGCAGTTGATCTTTTAAAGGTTATCTAAATAAAAGGAATGAGTCTGATACCATGTCAACTTATATACTTCCATAATTGATAGCAGCTTCATTAAGCTAGTCCCTGCTTAAAGCCTTTTGTGGCAAACTATAATGAATTTACATTTTGCTACCATGTTTGAATTGTCAGTGTGCAAAATCTCTACTTGAACTGGTCTCATGTATCTTGCTGTATGTGACTATCTGGCATTAAAACAGAAGCAAAGGCAGTGTCTACTGCAAATCACTGTGGCACTTGCCGTTGAGAAAGGAGGTTTGCTCCCCTGCAGAGTAAGGAGAAGAATGTATTAATTCTGTTTATTAAAACAGAATTATCTAACACTTATCTAACAAGTTCTAAAAGAATGATAATATGATAGAAATGTGTAGGTTTTGAGTAACTTCAGGGAATGTTAAATAGTTTACATAATCTACCTATTTAAATAAGCAGTAGTGTATATCACTTATCATTCTTACAGCATGGAGATCACTGCTGCATTTTTAACTGGATGTTTTGTTGCCATGTACCTGTAAAAAAAAGCCGTTGTGTCTAGCTGGACCAGTTTAAGGCCTGGGTTTTCAGCCTTCTTCCAGGTTAGACTTATGGTTTCTTTTAGTTTCTAACTCATTGGTGTATAGAATGAGTGAAACCACAGAAAAAATCTGCTTGCAGACTGTCAGGCCAGGAAGTTGTGGTGGAGAATGTATTTTGAGAGTCATTTGGCAGAGCTAGGTGGGTCAGTTTGGGACCAGACGGAGCTGTTATCTCTGGGATGCTTTTGCCAACAATAGCTTTATATGGAAACTAGAGGGGGTTTGAGCTGCAACAGTCTGTGGGAACCCAGTGACCTAATAGCAGACGCTGGATCCCAAATTGTCTCTGTCATCCCCTCCCCCTGCTGCTC